CAGTTGACACATCATTGTTACCAGTACATGCTTAATAAAACTTAAAAATAAAGATGCAAACTAGAAATTTTGTGGCGATTCAGTTAGAAGCTGATGCGTCACCTGTGGATGGTGACGTCTTTATATTGTCCCACTCTATAGATGCGGTCACAGGCCTGATCCTCCAAAGCTGGGTTCCTGTTGAAGGGTTAAAATGAAACTTTCTTCTACCTTACAGAAATGTTTCTTAAGTTTGGAATAACATAATCTCTGCAAAACTGCAGAATGCATTGTGTGACGTGTGCACATGTTTGTTTATAACTGCCTTTAAATTGTCCTTTGCCATTCCTTATAATGCAAAATGTGAAGGCACAAAATATTTTAGAGGATACAAATTAAATTAAAGAGGATAAAATGTGGAAAAAATTCTTTGCACAACAGATATATTTCAAATGCAGCTTGCTAAATTAAACGGCGAACGGCAAACAACAGAAGTGATACTTTTCCGGCTCTTTGAATGACAATGTGGCTCTCACCAGTGCATGTCAATGAGGAACAGGTGATTCCCACCGATCAGATTCAGTCCAACCCCCCCGGCACAAAGAGAAACCAGCATCACCTGAAGCAAAAACCAGAGCAATTAGGCAGCACTATACATTTAGAGCTGTGCAACAAAGCAGTTTGATTACACTCATTTTCCTCATTATCACTTCAAGCTTAGTTCTCAGCTGCATAGCACACTTGGTATAATGATCACAGCTAATCTAGAAGTCCCATCATCATCATCATCATCATTATTATTACTATTATTATTTACATTTCAGTGTTGCAGCAATTTCTGTTTATAACATATATTTAATTTATTGTTGTTTACTTTTTATTTAACTGTATTCTTCACAAATGAAGCAAACATTACAAAAACAGGAACAGTTGGCCTTACATGTATGCACAGATTATCAGTGCAAGTACAAAAAAAAAAAAGAGTAAAGTAAAAAAGCCACTATTGCTGTTTTACATAGTGCATCAGTGTTTTCACCGTTTTTTGTAAACTGATAAGTTTGTTAGTTTAAAGAAAAGGAAATCTCTTCATGTCTTTGATATCGTTCACTGTGCCGTCCAGTCATTCTTAATTAGGGGTTCATGTTTTAATCATTTACGGGTTATTGCTATCCCAGTGGCTGCGCAAGCAATCTTCTTAATAAGCATTTGTCTTTTACAGATAAGTTGCTCGCAGTGCTACATAAATAAATCGTACAGAAAGAAAAGTCCATCTGTTCTTGTTTCTCCTATCTGTACACAGTTTAATTTAGGGATTATAAAATATCTTAACAGGTAGATATTCTGCTAATCGTCATCTGTAATGAAAGATCCCAGAGTCTTCCTCCAGCTTAGATTATTTTAATGTTTTTTCGCTGGCCGGACGTCAGAATAAATGAAACAAGTTTCTTATTGTTGTAAATTTGAGTCTTTTGTATTTCAAAATCTTATTTTGATTGAGCGGTAGACAGTGGTACCAATTTCATTCCAATATTTAAAGCTCCCATTGATTCTTACTGGTGTGATAATCTTATCATTTTAAATATAGGTCCTCTGCTCTTGACATAAAAAAATGCCATGTGGATTTTCCTTGCAGCTCGTTGTATAAAAGTTGTTTTTATTATTTTTTTTATAAAAGTTGAATACATTTATTAGTGAAACTCTGTTAAATGGGCAGAATGGATTAATCCTCATTAAGATTATGAACATCTTAAATTCTACATCGTTTTCATTCATGTCAACTCCTTTACTTGGTGCATTACTGCCACCTGTTGGTTAGAAGTATGGAAATCATTGTGCCGCCTCATTATACTTCATTTATGCTCCTGCGGCTGTGTCTCTTTGTGAAGGTAATTATCTACAGGAAGGAGGTCTAAACATGCTCCTGTGCAGTTCTCCAAAATCGAAACTTCACATTGCTCGACGTGTATGATGATGTAAGTCGTTCGAAAGGTGATTAGCTGAGAAGTGGACTGGAACAGGGAAGGGAGAGAGTGCGGTTCACCAGGAATGTGATAAATGCAAAAAAAGCTGACCCCCAGTCAGCTTCATTCAGACATGCTCCATTTGACAAAAATAGAGACATTTACCTGTGGTCCTTTTGGGTTAGTGTTGAATTCTTCCACCAGATCCATGCGGCGTTTAGGGTTGACGGTCCCGTCGATGACGCTGTACGTTAACCCCATTAGCTGCAGATGAACTGCTACAATTTGGAGCATGCTGGTCCACTGGGACACGATCACACTGGACAATAAGGGCAGGACATGCCATGAAGACCACACATGAGAAGGTAACATAAAAATTGGTCCATTGAACTCTGAATTATTGTGATGTGTAATGTTTTACCTTTTGTGATCATTACTCTTCTCTCTGATCGCCTTCAGTTCAGAGATGATAGCAGAGATCTAGAAGGAAAATTGAATCTTTTAATACTAACAAACAGACTTTGAACTAGACCACCATGCGCTCTTATCACATACATCGTTAAAGGCAGGGAAAATGCACAAAGACAAATGGTCAGCTATGAATTTTAAAACATTTAGCATGAAAACAATCATGTCAAATTACGATTTAGAGCTGAATCTGTGCGGGAAAGATCCAAAGGCTCCAACTGAGGGCAAACAATCCACACCCAGTGACTTCATTGCTGACTTTATTGTGACTTTATATCAACAAAAACAATCATACCCTGATCTTATTTCATCATCTATATCATTTTCACATTCTGCCAGTAACTGTGATGTTAGTGTGCTGATCTATTGCCCACCTTGGTGCTTTTGCTGGTGCCCTCAAACAGCCGCGAGGGGAAGCGTGTGCCATTGAGGGCCACAGAGTCTTTGGGATCAGGGCCAGATGGCGAGGGGCTGGAGGAGAGCGACAGAGCATTGAGCTGCTCCTCCAGAGATAAGACGATCCCATCACCCTGCAGCTCCGATGAGTCCAGAGTCTAAGCACGGGAGACATGGAAAGAAGGAAATAGGTGTGTGCAGTATTCAGTTTGTATCATTATGTGTCTTTTTAAATTATAGACATTGCTGGAAAGCCTTATGACAGCACGTGAAAGTGTGTACCTTCTTAAGAAGTGAGAGGTGACAGCAACATTGTCGGAGGCGCAGCAGCAAGGACAGGATGTGGACGGTGCTGGACACCTGCTTAGCCTGCTGGGAGCTCGACAGAGCAGGATCAGCCTGGGACAAACCAAACTCCTGGGCCACTGGAGAGACAGAGAGAGTGAACACTATTTTAAATCACCATTACTGCTACTAGCAAACACTGTGTCAAGAGATTTATTCTAAAGACACTTCTTCAGCTAAGAATCTAAAGGTAGAAACACACAGACGCTGCAGTTTTTACTTGCAAGGGCGATCACAGAACGCTCACACCAGAGTGGGGGCCCTGTGATGTGCGCTCTGTTCCTGCACCTGCCTTTATTTATATACAAAAGTAATACAACAGTGAATACGTCTATTCATTAACAGAGGAATGTTAGTATGTAGGGAGTGAAGATAAAAGTGGTTCAGGTGTATGTGTGTGTGTGTGTGTTATTCTGAAGGACGTTGCCCCTCTTCTTGAAGATAAGAGCATCCAGCTCCCCTCTTCCTGGCAGGAGTGAAATGATAACAGCTTGCTCAGCTATTATCACTGTGAGAAAGAACTTATAAAGCAAGTCTTGATTTCAACAACAGTCTAAGTCATAAAAGGGTCATCATGCAGTATTCTATAATATGCAAACTTATATATCACAAAAAGATTATACTGACTACTAAGTACAATTTTCTATTGACACACTGATTGCTAAAAGAGTTTGACTTAAAGGCAAAAGTACCGTCCCAGCTTCCAGTTTAATTTCTGTTGTTTTCTACACGCAAATGTAATTATGCACCTCGTATAATAAGATGCAATCGTGACTGCAAAACAACCTTTGCTCAGATTAAGTTTATTTATTGGTGAGGCCTCACCTTTCTCAAAGGGATTAGAACTGGAAGTGCTTCCTTTCTTCACATCATTTCCTTCGTGTTGCTTTAGGTAGCTCTGCAGAGTAGATCTGGAGGAGAGAAAAAAAAAATATACACACCGGTATATATAATTGACTTTTTATAATTGACTTAATTCCTAGTTTCACAACACTCAAAAAGGTAAAAACATCAAGATGTCCAAATAAAAAACAAAGATGAAAATGCAGGAAATAAAATAGTGAAATGAACAATGTACAAACAGAACGTCTTGATACTTGACACCTTGGGCTTTAAAAAGGTTAATTAAACCCCTAACTGTAACTCTGCCTTTGCATTTCACAAAGGTTCATGTATCTCCGAAAAGATAAGACTTTTACCTGGACTGCGCAAATAACACATCATACACAGCCTGCTCATCCTCAGAAAGTTTGAGTCGATGCACCTCGGAAGTCCGATCAGGAAGAGACACCTGAAACAAAACTGCTTTAGTTTCTGGTTATATTTTGTAATTAAAACATACACTCCCAGAAGCTAACAGATACTTTGCCACCATTAAATTAAAAAACAAAAACAAGCAAACTCCTAATAGTGAGTGTATTTCCTGATGTGCTACCATAAAGACAGATGTTCATGGAGTCTGTGTGTGTGTCTCTCTACCAGTGGTTGGCCTGTGCTGTCCCGTTGGTCTTTGGTTCGTCGGAGCAGCAGAGTCCTGGTCAGGATGTTGAGTCGCTCTCTGCCTCTCTTGGAGCCGTTGTCCACCTGAGCTTTCCACAGTTTGTACTCGTCGAACGGAGAACAACGCAGAAACCTGAAAAGACAGAGGAACGCAGTGAAAGAACAGGATCTCATTCATGAAATACATTTATCATTCGTAATGTGTTCATTTCATTTGTGCTTCCTCGTCTCCTCCGTCTTACATCCTTCTGCTTGTGAAACAAATATTAAGCTCAGTCCTCCAGACTGAAAACTGTATCTGGAGGACAGAGGAGAAAGGAGCCTTTCCAGAGGAGCTGTAATCGAGGATGCACTGCTGTATCCTTTGCATGTTTTTATCTTCAAGTATAAAACAGCCATGTCACACAGCTGAAATACACAAGCCAAGGTGAGAAGAGGATTTGTCAGACGTTGTTTTAGTTATTTAAGAAGCTCAACTGTGAGATCAAATATTCCAGACTTCATGATTTATATGTAACTTATTAAAAACAGGCGTATTATCTTGTCAATCTGCACCATATTATGAAAATACTTAAAAATTGTCCCAAATATTAAAAACGGACCACACATGTGCAGCAGGCTAACAAAACACAGGATGGGTTAAAAACTTGTATTCACTGGGCTGTTGTCTTACTTGAGCAGCGAGTACATGTCCAGCAGGTTGTTCTGAATAGGTGTACCAGTGACAGCCCAACGGGCTCCTGCCCTCAGCTGACAGACAGCCATGGAGGTCTGCACTTTTGGGTTTTTGATGCTGTGGGCTTCATCCAGAATTATGCGGGCCCAGGACACTCGCAGGAGAGGAGCTGAGCCTGGACGCTGAAGAAAAATAATGGGAAGTGTGTTCGTAAGTTATTTCATTTTGCTGAAAGTGATGTTTCCAACACTGCTCTTATCTTAGTAAGAAATCACGAAAACAGTATTTTGATTTTTAGTGCTGCTGCCAGCATCTTCAGCGTTAACACTCAGAGGCTTTGCTTCCGGTCGTATATGTAGTATTTACCACATCGTCCTTATCCGTGTTGGGTTTATCGGCCTCTTCTTTTTGGACCGGGATCTCCTTGGACACTAGGCTGTAGGTAGTCACCACCACATCGTAATCTGCCAGTCTGGTGGACACATACACAACACTGTGACTCAAATGTCCTTCAAATGGGAAAAGAACAGCTGTAATGAAGATCTTTGACATGTCAAAGAAACAATGACAGAGCTGCTCTCCACTACTTTGCACGAACACGAGATCAAACATTTACAGTACACATATCAATTCCCCCGTGTGCATCATTTCATTTTGTCTGCGCAAGCATGTTTTCCCGAGAGGCGTGTTTTGCAAAAATAACGACAGTTATGACAGTGGAGCTCCTTTTTGTCTGCTTTAGTCATGTTTACGACTGTACTGAGTTTTGGCTTTTCCAAGCTTTCTCTTTATAAAACATTTGCAGGACATTCTTGTTCCTACAGTGCTTTACTATGGCCTCAAATACCAACATTTTAATATGTAATTGTTTGGCACAAAAGTAAAAAAGGTCAACTGTCACTGCGGGAACTTTGTGTGGCTTCAAAAAGAATAAGATGCGACTGCACCGTTACAAACTGACATAAAGGCAGAGCGGAGAAATAAACAGCAATGTGTGTGTGACAAAGTTTGCAGCTTTCTTACACTCTGGCACTTCTCTCACGGTTCGGGCCGTGGTACAGGTACACCGTCAACTTGCCCGTCTTGACATGTCTGTCAATCTCCTTCTTCCAGTGGTGCACCAGGGAGGCAGGGCAGATGATGAGAGTGCCCTTAGACAACACAGGGATGCAGTCTGGACACAAAAAAAAACAAGGAAATAGCTAAAAAAGGAAGAACTGTATAATTTTATTTAGCTAGATTTTATTTGATCCACTGAGTCAATGACAAAAGGTTCTCGTTACCAGCTTTGGATAACCAGCTATCCTTCTTCTTCTCTCCCATCTCCTCCTTGTCCTTTTTTGCTTTCATCTTCATGGCCAGTATGAGAGAAATCATGGTCAAGGTCTTCCCCAGACCCATGTCATCCGCTGATTGAAAAGAATACAAATGAGATGTACTAGAAAAAAGATGAAGAAATGGTAAGAAGCGAGGCGTTCCTCTCTTTGTCATGTGAGCAAACTGACTGGCCTGAGGAGACCATTTCTGTACATAGAAAAGCAAATTAAATGTAACAAACAGACCCCACAGGCTTATTTCCAACTTTAAAAGGAGGAAGAAAATCACATGAAAAAACACTCACCCAGTATTCCTCCACAAGGACTCTGCGTTTCTCTCCAGAGCAACCAGGCCAAAGCTCTCCTCTGATGGGGCAGGAGAGGCACCTGAGCAACCAATCACAATGCAGCAATCTTAGCCTAACATCATCGTCCAATCAAAAGAGGAAATACAGGCTGTACCATTCTAAATTGTGACAGTTTTGTGAATAAAAGAAAATGTTTTGACGCAAAAATGAAATACTCTACAAATTAAAATATATGGACACATAAAGATGCAATTTCTTAGAGCATAATAATGTAAAACTATGAGCTACAATCGGATGCTATATATATTTAAGGCTGACCTTAAAATGTTGCTGCAATACTAGAAGCAGAAAACCATCCTCAAAATGAGAGTAAATAAATGGTACTCAGTCAGACACCAGGTATTTTTTATGCAGCCTCAGTCTGAGCAGTCAAATCAGAGTAAAGATGGCGCTCGCCTGCGCTGAGTGTCATGTAAAAAGTTCTGATAGATGAATTTAAAAGTGGGCTTTAAAAGTGGGAAACTATTCGCGTAAGAGTTCTCTCCTGACCTCTCCTGCTAAGAGTTGTCTGTCATCCACTATCTTCTATATCACAACAGCTTAAAAATTTTAAATGTAACTATTTACTGACAGAGCCGAGCACTAAGGCTTGCAGTTTAACTGAAGCCTTGTGTAATCAGTCAGAATATCTGAGTTCTGCTATGAGTTTCCTTTATTTTTGAAGTTTTTGTGAAAATGTAGTTGTTGTTGTCAGATTTTTTTTTTGCCACAGTAGTGAGTGAACCAGTGTGTAACACCTTGATACCCTTGGGATCAGGGGCCTCAGCCTCGGCATCAGGACAGGACTCCAGGGACTTGTGGAGATGGTCGATGGCCTCACAGGTGGCATTTTTCACCGCCAGAAGACGGTCGTTGGTCATTCTACCCCCATAAAATGTCTGTGCCTGTGGGTATGCTGGAAACATTAAGGATGAATGATTAGCAATCTATATTTATTTCAAGTTTAAAAAAAACATTACACATTTTATAGAAGTGTTTCTCTTTCCTATTTGGCATACCTCCATACATCTGAGAGTCTCCCTGGCTCAGCTGGAGCTCCAGAGAGCCACCAGAGGCCTGATGATGGTGCAGGCCCGGGGCTGGAGGAGCAGGGAGCAGGATGGTCCCACCCTGCCGGCTGAATGGATTCATCTGAGTGTTGCTGAAACCAGAATCAGTGCTGCTACACGCTTCCTCAGGCTCTGAAAGGGAGACACAGACATCCAGCCAAATCTAAAAAACCTTGTTGGTTTTATTATTACACTTTCACTTGCACGTTTGTTTGACAGAAAGAAAATCAAAGAACATCAAATTACACAGCGCTTACTAAGACAAAAAAAAGTCCCTCACGGTTTTGCCCATGTAAGCATAAGGGCTTAACTGGGAGTATAGCTGGGGTAAATGTGGAATAACTAAAAAGCAGTTGAATAAACCATCTGAAAACACTATTCTATTATATCTCATGTGCAGTGTGACTCCTACCAGGCTGAGAAGCAGCAGTGAGGCTCAGTGACTCCAGGGCTTCCTCAAGCTCTTTAACCTGTGTCCTCAACCTCTCTCCTTTATCTGGTAGCGCCTCCAAGTTTACTGAAGATAGAGTGGCCTAAGGACAGAGTGAAGACAAAGAGCTCTCATAAGCCTGAGTATTAAACTAACCAGCTGCTCTGTAGTATTTGTTGTTGTGATGTATACAGTGTGTCATTTATGGGCTGTTATAAATGCTGAAACTGAAGGATTAGCAGTTAGCTAATACCAGCCAATTAGATATCAGCCTAATCGTAAATCACATTGCTGGACTTGTAAACTAAACTGTACTTAACAGCTACCTCAGCCTACTTTGTCAGCTAGTGTAGCTAACAGTGGCAACTTTAACATTTAAAGAGAAAAGCACATTCTGAGAGCTTGCAGATTATTTACTATGATATAATTACAAGTACTACAAATATTCTTCGGTGTTTTGGGAAACGCAGCCTAGGAGTGACTGATATGAGTATATCAGGGCGGTTAATTAACAGATTTCTTAATGCGGACATGTTTGACATGCATATAATATTTTTTTTATATTATAATAATATTTGTATGTTTGGTTTTAAATCAATGCAGTGTTCATGCATGACATGTGTGGTCTCCTCTTCCCCACACCTTTTTCTGCTGGAGCTGAACGGTGAGCAGGTTCTGCAGCCCTTTGGGGTTTTCCACCGGCTTTTTGACGTTAGAAGCTGGCTGGAATCCTGGGAAGTTGGTCAGTGTCTTTTGGACAGTAGAAACAGGAGGAGTCTTTTGCGGAGCAGGCTTCACCGACACCAGTACCACATCATCATCATCATCGTTGTTTTCGGGACTGTCGGGCTGACTGGACTCTGGCTGAGTTGGTTTGTCAGGTATGGGGCTCCTGCTGCTGTCAGAGTCTCTGGATGCATGGGTGCAGCTGCTGTTTTCTAGTATTTGTTTGGTTTCTTTCACCTGAGAGGTTTCAGCATCAGATGGTTGCTGAGTCAAGTTCCTGTGAGAAACTGGTGCAGTTTGATTGATTGTTTTGAGTTGATGTTTGTTTAATGACTGAACAGTCGTGACGCTGGAGGAAGAAATGCCCTTTTCTGCTTCTCCTTGCTTGATGCGGTTCTGCTCAGGCGTGTCTTGAATCTTCTCGGTTCTTTTTTCAACACTGTTTTCTTTGGGACTGTTGTTCTCCTCATCTGAAACTCTCTTTTTTAACTTCATCCCCGGTGGAAGTTGTTTACCGCGGTAAGTATCCGACGACCTGTGCTTATCATCTGCCTTTTCTTCCACTCCTGCACCATGTTGCCTTTCATTTTCTTTCTGGTAATTTGCTCTTCCTTCAGCCTTGTGACTTGCTTCTCTCTCTTCATGTCTATAGTTGTGCAACTTTCTCCACTCAGAGTCCTTGTCTGTCTGGCTTGGTGCCTTAAAGGGGTTTCGTACAGGTGGAAGACATGAGGGCTGAAGCTGTGTGTCAGACAGAGGGCTTCTCTTTTCTGTTTCTGGCTGCAATCATGGAAGACAATACACTTTAAAAAAAATGTATCATAGAGATTTACAGAAAGGTGTCTAATAACAGCTAATCCCTAATGTGGTATTTAAAAAGAGTAAATAGTTCAGAATAGGAAAAATACTTGTTCATACCATTTAGCTACATCCTATTTAATGCTGCAACTTATGATTGTTTACATAATAAATGTATTAATCAATGCGTACGCCAGGAAAACCGTAAAAAATTTACAGTTACAGCATTAAAGAAAAAACAACAAAAGAAAAACAAATACAAAAGAGGTAAGGATTACTTTTGTTTTGAGTGACTGACCAATGAACTGACTAATTCATACAAGTTTAATTATTAGTGGAGTAGTGAGAATAATAACTTAAAACTTTAATTAACCACATTTTAATAACTAATCTTTAATAAATATCTCAATGCGATGGCCAGAAACCGTTGGTGATACAGATATTGAATGTATATAAAAAAACAAGTGTGTGTTGGGAAGTCTGTGACAGCACTTACTGCAGTCCAGGGTACATTTCCACACCACCTCTGGCCTGCTTTTTTACCTACAGCACATCGGTAGAACAACCTGGAAAACGAGAAGGAATTTGCAGTTAAATACACAGTCTAACCAACCTGGTTTCTAGTCATATAAGCTGTGTATAAGCATGCGATTTCAGATTTCTTTCACACACACACACACACACACACACACACACACCTATAGCCCTGCTCTTGCTGACTGTAGTTGAGAGCCTGGAGTTCCACCATTGAATCTTCATGATGGAGGCAGTGTGATGGTGAAATGCTAGAGACATGATAATTCACGTCAATAAATCAAATATTTGTGCAACACACACATTTGTTTATCAATAACTTTAACAATATGTCACTGAATAACCAACACTTTTAACCTCAGATGTTTGGAGAGAGCCAATGAGTATAGTAAAGTTGGCTACTGAGATGAATGGAACAAAAGCAATGTAAGGATATAGCCAAGGAATAGTTAAGAGATTATTATTTGGTTCAAACACAGTGACAATGACTGCTTCAGGTCTAAAAATACAGTAGAGTGGCCTATTACCTGGTTTGCTGACTAAAATTACAGCCTTGCTTGTCAACGCAGACGTAGAAGCTCTTGCCTTTATTTGGTCCATCTTTTAATCCGGTTTTTAACATACACACGCCGCCTGTGACAAAAAAGTCTCTTTTTAGAAACACGTAAAAACTCGAAGTGCAGAATATTTAAACCGAAGGTTAAACTAATTATTAAACTATGTAAGCAGCAAACCTTTTTTTTCTCAGGATAAAAACAAAAATATAATCTATTTAAACCAAACACAATATCCAGTTTAGCATTTTATAACACATAATTAATCACCACTGACCGATTACCACTTACCGTGGATACTACATACAACCTTTTCCATTTTATCAACACTACTAGTTCAGTTTCAGTTACTAGAACGTGAAGGGAAGAGCGGCATTTTGTATAGACCAATCGCAGCTCTCGGATAATACATCCGCTCTGCAAACGTCAGTATAAAAGTCAAGGTCCGAGTTATGTAGCAAAATTGTATTATGATGGACAAACAAATAATATATAATAATGTATTAACAACAAATACCGATAAATATTAAATATATAACAATATTAAAAAAAACAAACTCAACAAATACCAAATTGAATTTGATTGATGACTCTTATTGTAAAATATATTTAACTTTTAACCGGATATGATATAAGCTAGTTCCGAGAACGTCCGTAAACCTGTTCCGTAAAAAGATTTTTTACATGTATGCAGAAGCTGCTTTTCAGTTTAAAAAACGTATGTTTTTTTAATATAAAAATTATTATTTATCATTTCTATGAAATAAAAAGACATTAAAAACAGTTAGTACTAGCGTGATGTAAGACTACGTTACCCACAATGCAACAACAACTTCATCGTTGGGTTTTTTTGGTCTCGCGGGCTTTGTTTTGATATGGCGGCAGGCTTCGAATTTTTTGTTTGTTGCCTTTGTATAACGCCCGATTTCATCACAGTAAACCTGCTTTTCTCCTGAGTAACAGGTAATGTCGATGTGTTTTGCGATGCTTGATAATGTTGTAGTGTCGTCACTACGGTGTAACATCCGGGAAAAGGTTTTATGAAATAAATAAAATGCAGCCTGCTAATAACGGGAGAGTGTGGACGAGGAAGCCAAGCCTTTTAAATAAAGCGACATTTGACTAAAATGAAAAGAGCACTTCCACATTCCACGTGAGCCACATGTCATAAATGCCACCATTCTCTCCTATGTTTTTTTAATAGACAGTGCTAAGATTGTTTGTAACCAAATATCTGGAACTGGCTATACGGCTTCTATGTAGCAACCAGAACGGAAACCAATCTCGTATTAAAAAGGCAATGTCTTTTTTTATATTTAATGTCTCTATATATAGTTTTATTGGACCTGGGCGTCAGCTATAGGGTGTTGGACGGTGTTTATTCGTGGCGTGATTAATCCTTAACCTGTCACCATAATCTTTCGCTTAGATCCCGGATTAGACTATCCTGGCTGCCACATCGCGGCCATCATGTCATCTCCAGCTGGCCTTCAGTACTCCCAGGCAGACTTCTTGGCCCGGTGGATGCCAAGTAGCACCAGAGCCGGAGTGATCCTCAGTCCCTCTCCGGATTTGGCTGGACCCTTGCGGCACACCTCTGCCGTAGGATCTTCGCCCATGTTGCCAGACGATTCATTCGCTTCCGATTTTGCCCCGTTGCCCGCTTCTACAGACAGCAGCTGCCTGGGTATGGATGCATTTAGACGAGCAGCAGGAGGAGAAATGACTGAGTCTGACAGGCCGGTGAACGGTCTAAACTCTGTCCCAACGAGAATTGCAGATGGACAGCTGGACACTTTGGACGAGATGGCAAGCAAATCACAGAATCTGCCCCTTATGATGAAGCTTGAACAGGTATGGACATCGGTGCTTTTCAGAAGCTGTTTTGTCCTGTAACTTGAGACAATCAAGTTGTTAAAAGTATAAAATCTGGCATATGTGACTAGCCCTGCTGCTGTGCATCTGACTAGATGGACTTTCAATACCTAACATAAATGACACAGATACTGGGAGGATCTTTAGTTTTACTGGTTTACTGATAAAAGCAGAAAAAAATGAACCTGTAATTTATTTATTAATAATGTAAGAACATTTGGACACTTTGATCCCACAGATCTCCTAATATATGCAAATTTTGAGCCCTGCCTGGACTTCATTGTTGATTACATCACTGCTTCCTGTATACTTAATGCACCTCCATCACACACACTCCTTTACGTTTCTCTGCTATTAATAGAATTTTCCCTAAGACACTTATGTTGGCTGGGACACAGATGCAATTAAACACTTAGACTATATGTCAACTGGGAGAATGTGCAGTGCATGTGAATTGACACTGAGCTGAAACTACTCAGAAACATCTATGTTAAATGTAGCTTAAACCATCTGAAAAACACAGATACCATATATCGTGGCGATCGAGTTGGCAGTTCGTCTGGCAATCGGAAGGTTGCTGGTTCAAGCCCCGGCTCCGACAGTCTCGGTCGTTGACACTTCACCCGTTGCCTACTGGTGTTGGTCAGAGGGCCCGGTGGCGCCAGTGTCCGGCAGCCTCGCCTCTGTCAGTGCGCCACAGGGCAGCTGTGGCTACAATGTAGCTTGCCATCACCAGTGTGTGAATGGGTGGATGACTGAATGTAGTGTAAAGCGCTTTGGGTTCCATAGGGACTAAGTAAAGCGCTATACAAATACAGGCCATATACCATATATACCATATATATTAGCTACACCATATCTAATTAGAATTGGATGTACTATGTATGTGCAGTTAAAGAAATGGCAGCAGCACATGCAGGAGCAGCTAAAAGCTCATCAGCTGGAGGAGCTGCTTCATCTCCAGGAAGAGCAGCAGAAGTTACTGGGAACTCTGAATGGATCCGAGCACTGCACAGGAGGTCAGAGAGTGAAATTACATGAACAACTGCAAAGTGATCATTTTGAGTTCAGGGTGAATGCGGTGTGCATGTATTTATCCTGCTTTATAAACTGAAGTGATGATAACCCATCTTACAGAGAGTTCAGAAATGTCCGGACCAGAGTGGGTTGAGGACACGCTCCACAGGTCATGTTACACACAGCGCTCATACAGTCCTGATACAAATCACCGTAGAGTCCCACAGGGCTCTACGATCGGCCGTCAACCAGAACAGCAACTTTCACTAGTTGTCAGACACGAGCAGCTACCCAAAGGTCAAGCACCTGAGGAGGGTGACCATGAGGAAGAGGGTAAGATATATTTATTTTAAATGTAAGTTTCAAATGTAAGGCCCAGGGGCCAGAAACGACTGACCAAAGACTCCAAACCGGCCCACTGCACAGCTTCACATGTATGAAATGTGAAGGAGTACATAGATTTGAAACATTTCACTGTATTTTCATAGGTTTTACAGCTTTTCCTATATATAAAGACCCCTTCCAAGTCCATTCATACTACACAAAAGTTGGTAACTAATAGATAAACAGTTAAATTACACTATCTACCACAGAAATGCGTTTTTTGTTGGGTTTTTTTGCAGGTGGTCCACAGTAAATAATAAATTAGACATGATATTTTATTACTACATGATAGTCTGGGCTATAAATTTCCAAAATATTTTCTCTAATTTTAAATATCTGTCATATAGTTTCACTCTTTCAGTTTACTTAAGATCAAAGCGGGATGTATGTCTCCTACGATGTAAAACAAGTTTGACATCCCTGGTTTAGAGTAAGACACTTGCACAGTTTCTTGGTATTTGTGTTTTCTATAGAACAGCCAGAACTGCCCTGTCTTTCATCACATGGTCCACATGTTTTCAGTGGTTAACTGCTTTGTTTTTTTAGGCTCACTGGACTCCAGAGAGGATGAGGAGGAGCACAGTGTCAATGCGAGCTGTTTTTCTGAGGAAGACGACATGTTGATGCAACATAATGCTGTGGCAAGGACTGAAGATGACAGCAGAACAGAAGACAAAATCTTTCAGGACAGGTAAATATTACATAGTTTTGTATTTATGTAGTATTAACATCAGACTGTCTCGACAGATCGGTGTTTGAGTATGGTTTTGTTTGCCTCCTCAGACCTATAAGGCCAGGTGTTGGTGGTCAAAAGCAGACATTTGAAGAGCTGCTCGAGGAGCAGCTGAAGCTGGAGGAGCAGAGGCTAAAGTCTGCCCAGCAACAACAGGTCAGAGGATGTGTCACAAGTGCTGAAAAGTATCAATAATGAACCATTCATTTGAGTTTTGCATTCTGCAGGTGACAACCTGATATAGGAATGTAATGTCTGCACAAATGGAGCCTGTCTGTATTTTGCAATAAAATACTATATTTAACTGGAAAAACTAAAAAAATTCCAATTTACATTAAATTCAAATCTTGTCCTATTCGTTGAACAGAGTCAAGATGGAGCCAACGCTGCGCAAGCCCTTCCTAAGAGAGCCTTTTTGAAGCGAGGAGAGGGCCTTTCGAGATTTACAAATAATCGGAAAGCTATGTTCCAAAAAACGGATGTAAAGAAGGACTCCAGACCACCACCGCCTCAAGCCAGAGTAATCTCTCGCAGCAACTCGGAGCCCGCATATATTCAGAAAGGAGCCACAAACAGTGCCCCACGGCTTCCTGTCCAGCGTAAAACTGCTACACTCAACAAGGAGAACTGGTTGAAGGGACTCGGTTCACCTCCTCACGATACGCGAGCAGTGACTAAAGTAGCACGGACAAAGGTTTTAGGTAGTCATCAGAGACAGAACACAACAGGACCAGAGTCTGTCCAAACTGATTCAGGGGGCAGACCAGCCAAACATCAGCTGGGGAAAGTTCTGCCGGTTCAGGCCGTGAAAGTCCCGTGTCTCAACATTCAGCCATGTCCTACAACCAAACAGGGCGGGAAGTTAGGACAGGCAGGGACGGCTGAAAATGAAAAAAGCTGTGGTTCAAAAGTGGAATTAGCAGAAGCAGGAGGGTTTTCTAAAGGAGGAGACCCAGTTATACAGGATTCCTTTGAGTTGTCTTTTCAGAAGAAGCTCCAGCGATGGGAGTGTGACCGACAGCTGGAGAGCATGGAGCTGGGAGAGTTTGAGCTGCTGGAGCAAGCGGCTGAAGAGCTGTCCTTCTCATCTAACTCCTCCTTTGTCATGAAGGTGCTCTATTTCACTCTCAAACTCATCACGCTTTAATTCAGCACTTCAAATGCTCAAAAGTTTCGATGCCTAGTGTTACAATTTTTTGTCACACAGTTTTTTGTGTTGATAGTGTCTCTGTTTCCTTGATTGTGTTGTTTCTGGTTGTTGGGATTCAGTATTTCTGCTGCCTTTAAGTGGTCAAAATCTACTATTGAATTTCTAAAGAAATGACCAGATTGGGTTGCCTTTCTCCAGGACTTTACTGTTA